AAACTGCCACCCGCTGCAGTCACAGCCCTCACACTGCCCAGGGCTGGCCTTAGCAGAACTTGAGTGATGGGGTGACGCTGCTGGCATGGGCAATGGTGATGATGGGGATAAGGGGAGGCTAACAGGGGTGAAGGTGGGGGTGGCAAAGTGGCTGGGTGGAGAAGCTGACGCCAGTCATGGTGGGGATGGCGGTAGGGTGAGGATGCTGAGGAAGAGGAAAGAGACAGGGCAGCAGATGACTCCAGGTACAGCGGTGAAAGCCTGTAATCCCAGCTGATGCAATAGGATCATAGGTTCAAGGACAGTCTGGGCAATTTATCAAGACCCCCATCTCAAAATAAAAAACAAAAATAGCTGGGTGTGGTGGCACTCACTTGTAATCCCAGCACTTGAGGTTGAGGCAGGACTATAGTCAAGACCAACATAGGCAACTCAGCAACATGAGATCCTGTTTTAGAAATTTAAAAAAGGGAGCCAGAAGTGGTAGCACGTGTCTGTAAGCCCAGCAGTTGGGAGGCTGACACAGGAGGACTGCAGGACTGCTGAGTTTGAAGCCAATCTGGGCACACAATCAGTTCAAGGCCAGTCTGAGCTATATAACAAGAATCTGCCTCAAAAAAATCTAGTGGTGGGGAGGGAGTGGGAGGCTGGAGGTACAGTTCAGAGCAATGCCTTGAGTTCAATCTTCAGTACCGAATAATAAAATAATAAAATGGGGTCTAGCGTAAACAAGATCCTGGGCTCAATCCCCAGCACCATAAAATTAAACTAATAAAAGGGGGGTGGGGATGGTAACCCCTAGGGTAGATGTGGGGAGGGAAAAGAAGAGGGGAGGGGGCTGGGGATTTAGCTCAGCGGCATAAGCGCCTGCCTTGCAAGCAGGCAGTCGTGAGTTCGATCCCTGGTACCGATAAAAACAAAAAAGACAAAAAAAAAAAAAAAAAAAAAAAAAAAGAAGAGGGGAGTGAGGCTGGAGATAGGACACAATGCTAGGGGGAGAAGGAGAAGTTTTCTGGCAGAAGAAATGGTGTTGGGATGGGGGTGCTAGGAACTCAGGGTGCTACCCCAGCTGCAGGGAGACAGAGTACAGGCTCAGGAGCAGGGGCCCAGGGCCCAGGGTTGCCCTTGACACTGGTCCTCCTGTTCCAGGGGAACACCACAGTGACAAAGGAAGCACCCATCTTCTTGCATGGTGTCTGCCAAGGTTTTGCTCTTCCTTTTTTTTTTTTGTCTTTTTTCGTTTTTATCGGTACCAGGGATCGAACTCACGACTGCCTGCTTGCAAGGCAGGCGCTTATGCCGCTGAGCTAAATCCCCAGCCCCCGGTTTTGCTCTTCTTAGATCTCAGGGAGGACCTCAGGGTGCAGAACAGCCTGGAGGGTTCTCTTGATATCTCTCTTTAGAACAGGATCTTGCTATGTAGTATTTAGACTGGCCTCACACTGACTGTGTAGCTAGGCTGGACTTGAATTTGCAGTGAGCCTCCTGTTCTCAGCTTTCCAAGTGCTGGAATTGGGCATGTGCCACCATGCCCAGCTCTGGAAGATCTTTCCCCTGAGTAGAGCCTTGGGTGGGCCTGGCTTGTGTCCTCTGCTGAACTAGGATGAAGGACCCACCAGGGTCCCTCTACCTCCAGGAATTTCGCTGCCTTATGCTGAACAGGGGCTGGTCCCATGGAAAGGTGACTGTCAGGGCAGGTTACATGGAGGAATCCACCCAGGCCACTCCTCCCGTGCTGGAAGTGTCCTTCACAGAAGTCTGGTGGTAGCCTTGTGGCCAGGCCAATGGGGCCCAGAGTCCCCCTCTCCTCCCTCAGCTGGAGTTAGGCAGGCTGGTAGCAGCTGCCACCTCATTCACAGACTGCACTGGGCCTTCACCTGCTCTTGTCACCCACCGTAAACTAAAGCAAAGCCCGACCTCACCTCCCCTCCGCCCAGCAGCCATGCAGACTGACAGCAGCAGTCCACCTCTGGGGAGACCCCTTCTCCTCCCCCGTCTCTGCAGGGCCCTCCAAGTGCTCCATGCCACCCACTCTGCCCTGCCAGGGTGCTCTTACTGCTGGCTTTGCCTCAGGTCCCCCACCAGGATGGACACACTGACTACTGGCCCAAACTCCACTTCTTAATGGAGATCAACTATAGGACTCCCTTCCTTCAGTGGGAGTTGGGGGTGCAGCACACCATATGAACCCACAAATCCCTGACCACAGGGTGAAAGGCAAAACAAAACACCCAGTTGAATCAGCCTAAGAAGATGTGAGTGCACAATGGGGTGGGCACGGGGCTAACCTCAGACCCCATTTGCACACGTCGCAGGACTGGGCCAGCAGGAGCTTAGATCCACGACTGAGGAAGGCTGGCAGGAGCAGGTGGGGACAATGACAGTCAAGCAGGAAGGGGGTGCCCCTGCTCAGCATGCTCCTCACACCCAGTATGCTCACCTACCCATCCCCAGCACCCCAGCCCCAGTCCATCCTCAGTTCTGTCTCCACCGCTCCCCCCGACCCGTGCCCTCCTGCTTTGGAAGCGCTCCCTCTCCCCACATTAATCTCTGCCCCTGCTCACTGCTGACCCAAGCTAAATGGAGTTTGCCTTTTCCCCTCTCGGCAGTTTTCTGTTGGCAAAGCAAAAAGCATCGCAGCACACACTCACCTCAACCTCCCGTCCGTCCGTGTGTGTGTGTGTGTGTGTGTGTGTGTGCATGCACACCTCTAAGAACCCAGCATCCCCACATGGCGCCGCGCAGGTGGGCATGCACACACATCCCCTACCAGGTCAGCCCGTGGGCCTCTCCTCCTGTGGCTAGGCAAAACCCCTCCCTCCCCAGGGGTGACACACACATGCATGCACCTCCCACAGGTATTCATGGTCCTTGGGGAAGAGCAGGTGTGGTCCTTGTTCAGGGCCTATGGGTCCATCTGTAGCCCACAGTGACGAATGGTGACTGACTAGGTCAGAAAGCCTAGGATATGGGGTTTGGCCAGATGTGTCCAGGAAGGAGTAAGCAGGGACTGTGGGGCCATGAGGGTGCACAGGCATCCTGGTGTAGGCTTGCTCACACTTTCCTGGCCCAGTCTTTGCCCACCGGGATGCCTCCTGCACAGCAGGACTCCATGAGTTCCTTCGAGGTGCAGGGAAGGGCTGGTACCCACAGGATTCTGAATAGAGAACAGCATGGGCCTGGTTTCTAGGATAAAACTGCAGGTTCTGCTGGGCCCGCTCAGTGTCCTTAACCTGTCCCTGAGGCCTCCTGGAGCTGGCCAGAAATTCTAGTGCTGCTGATTCAGGTTTCTGGGTGGACTGAAGGTACCTGAGATGCTGGGCAGGATATTCCACCCATTTGCCCAGGGGCAAGGCTAGGGTCAGTGCCTCCCCAAGCCTATGGCCTGCGAGTTTCTCTGGAATTGTTCATTGCTGTCAGAACAGTGAGCAGACCTGGGGAGGCACAAGGAGCCCTCCTCCTGGGCCAGCCCTGCCTGGGTAGGTATTCTTCACCCGGGCCCCTGCTTAGGAGGCTCTTCCTCTCATAGTTGGGCCTCAGGGACTGCCCTGGCAGCCTTGAGACCCTGAGTCTCTGCACAGGTGTGCAAGAGGCACCGGGGCTGCTCACCTGGGAGGCCCCTTGGCAGATGTCTGATAGCAAAGGCAGCCCCAAGGAGCACCCTAGAGGTTATGAGGCATTTGAGCTGGGGACAGATGTACCAAGAGGTGGTAGGCACAGTCTCCAGGGACCCAGGAGCAAAGTCCTGGGTTTGATAAGAGGTCAGACACTGGCAGGCAAGAAGGGTGTGCTTGTGCAGGAAGCAGATCCTATGTTTCCCTTGGCTGCTGTCCCCTCCTCAGGTATGGACAGGCTGCAAAAGGCAGGGAGTACAATGTCCACTAACCCTGTCATACCTGATTGTCACATAATCGCCTCCTTGATGCACAGTTTTATTAATCAAATTAATAAGCACTGAGGAGACCTGCCTGACCTTGGCCTGTTATGCTGAGCTAGGGATTCTCCCAGGAGGCCCAAGGGAGGCCGGTGCACCTGGAGCCTCATTCCCAGGCTCAGGCTGGCGAGGCCCCTCCCTCTCGCTTCAGGGAACATAGCTGTGGCTAAGTTCCAATTCATGGCCCTTTCCTCCTCACACATCCCACACAGCTTACCCCCCATTCACCTCACACTCTTCCCAAGAGCCATACTCACCTCTACATCTACCCCACACACTCATCACCTTGGGATTTTGACATCAATGTTGAAGTGGGCAGGGGATAATGGACAGTGGGGCCAGGACCATGGAGCCAGAGCCAGAGCACAGAGCTGGCTGCTCCCACTCGGGTAAGGAGCCCTCAGCAGGGCCGGGACAAAAGAAGGGTTCCTGACTAGGAAGGGATTTGCCTTGCTTTCCTGAGTCTGTTCCAGATCCAAGCCTGGAGGAAGGGAGGCAGCCTCCCTAAGGTGGTGTGAGTGGGCAGTGATTGCCCCCTAGTGGCCAGAGGGACATTACCTGGCCCACAGTCTCTGTCCTCAGCTCAATGGAGAGACCCTCCTGGCTCCCACCCTGTGCAGCTCAGACAGGGCAGCCCTCTCTTTGCTCTCTTTGGAGCTCAGGTCCCTAGCCTTTCCAAGGACCTGGGGGCAGAGCTCTTGCCAATGGCCTTGGGAGCCATACACATGACAACACTCCAGGTGCAGCAGGCCCAGGACCTCAACACTGGGTCTCCGGGGAAGATGGCAGGACTGCAAAAGCAGGGAAGGGAAAATAAGGTATTGCAAGGGGCAGACTTCGGCTCGGAGCCTGTGCAGGGGCACTGGCGAGCAAGGGAGCAGACTTGTCCACTAGGGTTGAGTGTAGAGGGAGCCTGCAAGGAGTACCTCCCACCAAGCAGCTCAGCCTTTTCAGAGTGGACCCTGAGGTAGGCCACTGTAGGGGGCAGCATCTCCCAGAGAGGTGGCTTAAGCACTGTTTCCAGAGGGCACCGGGACAATTCCCCAGCACTGGGTTCAGACCTGCCTTACCTAACCATAATCTTTAATGCACATCTCAGACTTGAGCACAACAGGCACAGCCTGAAGGTCATCCAAGGCGGGGAACAGAATACACAGGCCACTCCTGGCCACTGGAACCACGTGGGCACTGGCCCTCATGGCTTCCTGGGTGCCTGGAGGGCACAGGGCACTCCTGGTTCAGGGGCAGGTGCCAGAGTCCCCACCAGCACTGGGCTGGAAACGGCCCCCTGTCTTGCACCACTTGGCTTTGCGGCTCCAGCCAAGGAGGGGGAGGGGGCTGGCATGCATGGGGGCTGGTGTCTGGAAACCACACTCTCTCTGGCTCTTCAGAAGCCCTCCTGGGCCCAGCAGACCTGGCCGGCGGTCCCCCTGCAGCCAGGACAGAGATGGTCACGGTCAGCTCCAAGGCCTGTCCTCACAATGGTCGAGCTGGGAGAGGCAAAGCTGTCTTGGAGGTGGCAGGCTTGCTGTAGTACGTTCCAGGCTCTGCTGGGGTGCTCACATGTCACCCAACCCTGTGTCTGACTTGTCTCTGGAAGCCTCAAGTTCAGGTGGACTGAACTTGTTCACTTGAGGTGGACAAGGGCTTCCTTGGCACAAGGCAGCACCATAGGTGGCCACTGCCAGGTCACCCCAATGAAGGCCCTCAACCTGTTGGTTCCTCTCTTGGAGGCCTCTGGAGTACCTAGGTGAAGGACCAGGGCTTGGGTACAATAAGGAGACTGGGTCCCTGAGGGGCTCACCGTGCCACGTGGCTCAGGACTCGGCAGCAGGGACACCACCTGCAGGCTCACGCCTGCCTCACCCACGGCCCTCAGCTGCGCCACCACCTCTGCGTGCTTCCACCACTTGCATGGCTGCCCGTTCACTGACACAATGTAGTCCCCCTCCTTCAGGCCAGCTGCCTACAGGGAACACAGAACGGTGAGGCAGCAGGACAGGATGCTAGGCTGCAGCCCAGCGCTCAGCCTCAGGTCCGGGGTCCCTTACTGCAGCCGGGCCCCCAGGAACCACAGCAGCGATGAGGACAGGTGAGTCTCCCCGGAGTGTGAAGCCGAAGCCGCCCTCTCCTCGGGTCATGTGGATGGGTCCTACTAGCTGCCACCGGTTCTTGGTTGAGAATACCGACAGGGGACCCTGGAAGTGGAGAGGTCAGAGCCTGGCTGGGCAGTAGTTGAGGGGTCTGAGCACCTCACTTCTACCTCACTTCACAATAGGAACTAATGAGACTAGTGCCAGGGGAGGAGGGGCAGGGCCACAATGCAAGAACATCAAGGGGAGGGGCTGGAGGTTTAGCTCAGCGGCGTAAGCATAAGCGCCTGCCTTACAAGCAGGGAGTCGTGAGTTTGATCCCCAGTACCAATAAAAAGGAAAAAGACAAAAAAAAAAAAAAGAACACCAGGGGCCTGTCTAGACTCTTGTGGTGGGAACACAGCCCAGCTATGGAGGGAGGGGTGGTACAAGCTGCATGCTTACCAGTCGGTGGAAGATGTCAACCACTTGTATCTGTGATAGGCTAGATGGCCTGACCTCAAGCTTCTGGTGGGTCTTAGCTGAGAGGGTGGGAGAAAAAGGAGGAACACAATAAGCCCAGGACTCATAGATCCCCAGATACCTGATTCTGTCCCAGAGGAAGAGGTGTGACCCCACTGGCCCTTCCTGGGACCTCTGGCCTTGCTGTCCCAGGCCCTCCCTGTCCATGGGCCTCTCCTGTTCCTCCCAGTGGGGTTGTCCCCATCTGTGGGCCTTCCTAGAGCAGCAGCCAAGTAGAGGAAAACACAGGTCTTGGGCAGGCACACTGCCTAGCCTGGCTGGAGCTCCCACCCCTCTCAGGTTCCCCTGAGGCTGGTGGGAGATGGCCTTGGTTACTGTATCTTTTTCCTGGTATTGGGAATCTATTCTAGGGTCTCATATACTGAGCTATACCCCAACCTTTGCTTTAAAAATTGAGACACTCTTTAACTGCCCAGGCTGGCCTCAAACTTGTGATCTTGTCACAGCCTGCCAAGCTGCTGGGATCACCAGCATGCACCACTGTACCTGACTGGCAACTGCACCTTTAACTGGCTGCAGGGGTTCAGCCCACCTCTCTTGGCCAGGACTGAGGCCTCACCCTGGAGGTATACCCACCCTGCTGGGCCCTGGCTGCTCACGCTGGATGTCGGGGGCTTCAGCAGCCTCAAAGAAGTCATCCTCACGCTCAAGCTCTGAGTACTTGGCCAGTGAGTGTTGCAGGGCCTGGGCCAGTACGGCTTGCAGCAGATCCACTGTGCGCAGGACACGGCACAAAGCATGTAGCCGCAGTGCCTCTTCCTGACCCAGTATGGCGCGTTTCAGGTGGGCCTTGGCTACACACAGGGCACAGTGTCATCACACGAAGCCAATCCCAGTCCCTACCCCCTGGGATGCAGCCAGTGTTGGGTACGGGCCACTGGGGCAGCTGGCTGGACCAGAAGGGATTGGCCAGGTAAAAGCTGCCACTAGTGTGGCCCCACCTGCCCAGGCAGCATCGGTGCCAAGTGACAAGGGGCCCCCCAGTATCTTCCACCTACAACACCTCACCAAGCTTCCTGCGCTCCTCTGGCTGCTGCGGCAGTGGGAGACCTTGGGACTCAGGGGAGTATGGGGACTGCAAGACCTGCTCATGCCTGGGGAGCTCGTCGTCAGCTGTAGCTGCAGGTCAGAGAGGCTGTGAGTGCTGAGCACAGGCCTTCTGCCTGTACCACAGGCACACCGGGTGGGGACACTCACAGGAGCTGTCACAGAGCGCCACAGCAGCATGGTAGTGGGCTAGTGCGCAGAAGTGCTCGGCCTTGACGTGCACCAGGGTGGTCCAGGATGGGGGCACATAGTCTCGGACAGGTGGCTGGGCCATGGCCTGGTGCACAAGCCTGTACTTGGCTGCCACCTGCCAATGGGCATGTGGACACCCTGAGGCCTCCCGTCCTCCCTGAGGAGCCCTTGCTTTCTTACACCTAGGCCCAGCCTCTATCTACCCTAAACCAAGTTCCTGTGCTCCAAGATGAGGCTGACCCACCAGAGTCCAGGGACCCAGATTTCTGCTTTAATTTGTGCTTTCCCCAAGGCAGGGACTCAAGAACCCATAAACCTGGGCAGCTGCTGGCTTTGGGGATCATGAACAGAACTAGTCCATGTGTGACCTGTCTCTCTGACTGAGCTCTGCCCGTATCCTGCTGACTCCTCATTCCTCTGGGCCCTGCCCCAGGCCCACTGCCCACAAGTGATGACAGAGCAGCCAGGCTGTTAAGGGTTCTTGACAGGGCTCCTTGGCCTCACCTGGGCAGCCTCCTGGGCCAGGCAGTTGTGGGGCGTGGCAGGGGCTGGCAGTGAGAGGCCCTCAAAGATGCACTCCTGGGCCTGGGCAGCCATGAGTTGTTCCAGTGTGGAGAGAGAGGCGGCACTCATGTCTGGGCTCGGGGCGTGGGAGAAGTTCTCCCTCAAGAGGTTGAAGGCCCCTGTGGATGAAGTGGGTGCTTATGGTGGCAGGGCTTCCCTACACCTACTAGGGCCACCCCAGGGATTCCCAGGAAGGGCTTGTGAGTGCCAGGCTCCTCATGCTGGGGGTCAGCATGCCTATCCCAGCTCCTGCTCCAAGACAGGAGGAGAGGTGGCCCCACTGTGGATGTGTACTGCTCTCACCGGCAGCTTTTTGGAAGGCCTGGGCAGCATGGTGGGCGCCCCCTGGGTGGGAGCGGTCCTGGCATGCCCCAATCTGTGTGTGGAGAGCGCCGATGTTGAACAGCACACTGCCCTTCTCAAACGCCAGGGCCTGCTGCTGTGCTGGGACCCCCGTGAGCGAGTCGTACCTGTGAGGGGTTCAGGCTGGGAACAGTTTTCTGGAACCTAGGCCTCCTGTCCCCAGGGCACCCCCATCCCAGCTCCTACCACTGGAAGAGCAGCACAGGGCTCCGAGCAGGGCTGAAAAAGCGCATGTCCAGGAAGCAGAGCTGGCTGTAGTAGGTCTTGAGCAGCTGCAGGCCTGCTTCATCCCGGCTAGGGGTCCGCATGGCCTGTAGGGCAGGAATGGTTGGGCCCCACCACCCAGACCCTTTACTCACACACAACACCTGGGATCCCCTGGGCATGAGCCTTGTGGACACAATCACCATTCTGGGCTTCAGGGCACCTGGTGAGGGTACCCCGGGGTGAGAGGCACGAGTCGCAGCCTGCACAGAACTCTCTGTGGGGGCTGGGGCCCGTCACACACACTGCTGTGGCAGTCTCCCTGACGTCCTCCCCGGATGTGAGGATTCCCTCCAGTAGTCATCTACCCTGAGCGTTATCATCCAAGCCTTGGTTTCCTTATCTGCATCCAGGGCTACAGAAGCGCAGAGCGGGCTGAAGCAGCCCACCCACCTGCCGCAGGCTCTCCAGCTCCATGATCTCTGCCTCATAGGCAGTGCTGTCCTCTCCAAAGTGCCCTGAGATCAGTTCCTGCAAAAGAATTGTGCTGGCCTCGGGGGCACTCAGTGCCTGGCAGATTGCCCGGGGGAGGGAAAGTCCAGGTGCAGAGCAAGCTTGCTGCCCATGCAGAGCTGGAAGGACCGAGTGCCTGGGTGTGTGGAGAGGCTTGGTGGCTTTGGAACAAGTGCTGGGGTGGGTCTTCCTCTTGGCTCTGGGCCTCTTATCTGTGAGAATCAGGGCCAGGATTCATGTGGGTGCTATCTTTACACACATTCCTTTATTAATCCCAAGAGGCAGGTGTCACCTATCACTTGGAGACTCAGACACTGAAGTACAGGTCAGGTTCCCTTCCATGAGACTCTGTGAGGTATGGCAGACAGGACATGCCTTGTCTGGGGTCTGAGCTTTCGCAGTATACTTGGGCCAGTAGGGCCTTCAGCAGGAGTGCCCAGGATCCTGCATTTGTCCTGGGGCTTCCAGTAGGATGTCCTGTCAAAACCATCCTAGAGAAGGGCTCAACTCTCAGCCCACCCATCAGATGATCCACAGCCCAGGGTGTGGGACCTGAGTATAGCAGAGGAAGGAGGCTTGCCTGCGAAGGAGGACCTTGCCAAGTCCCTGGCCACTTCTGCCATGTCTCTGAAAAGCCCTGGTCATTCCTCCCTCCTTCTGGGCCTCAGTTTCCTCATCTTTTCAATGAACTAGCCTGACCTGGAAGTCTCTAAACTCTTTCAGGCCCCAGGACAGAGAAGAGGACAGCACTGTCCCTCAGTGTTCCCAGGCCAGTGTCTACCTTCAAGGATGTGGCCCAGTCCAGCTCCTTGGTCTCCTTCAGGCCCAGGGGGATCATAGGGACAGTGACACCTTCACTAGAAACCAGAAACATTGGCTCCAGATGTGCTCCAGTAGCCTAGAGTCCACACCCTGCCCTCCCAAGACCCAGACCCAGGGTGCTTCCCCTAACTCTTACATGTGTGCACCCCTACTCACAGACTCACCCTTTTGGCTGTTCCATGTCTGCCATGCTGCTGAGCCCCTCCAGTTCCTCCTTCAGCAGCTGCAGGTTGGAGTTGACATAGCTCAACTCCAGGGCGACCGTCTCTCGGACCTGGTTGTTGCTGGTTGCTCTGGGGGAGATCAGCAGTGGTCAGGAGCCCTGGTCCATGGCAGAACCCATGGCCTAGGTGCACTGAGGACCTCCTGCCCTGCAGAGCTCCAGAGCCTGCTTCCCAGAGGGGGGTGCTGAGGAGTGGGTATGGCAGCTGTGGGCTCACAGTTGCCATTCCCGCTTCACTGAGTCCTCCCCTACAATTCACGGGCTCATGCAGAGTGGCCGAATGGGCTATCGTTGGCTGACATGCCCTCCAGGAAAACTCCCAAGCAATTTGCTGGGTGAGAGAGAGCCAGTTCCCCTTCTATGTCCTACAGAGGGACCAGGGAATTTCTGATGACAGTGGGCTAGAGAAAGAGGTTGCTCAGGAGAGTGAAGTCCTGGGCTCATCTGCAGGATGCACTGTATGGTCAGTATGCTCTAAGAAAGAGGCTGGTCCTGAGCCAGAAGACTTTCTCAATTCCCCAGCTTTAGACACCTGATCATGTGCTATACTGATGCCTCTTTTCTCTACACTGCTCATCTCATGCATATGCTGGAGCCTTCCAAAAGGCATTCCAATTTTGGACAGGGTTCAGTTTGTCTTAAGGTCTCTCCTGAATGGTAAGTGTATCGCATGGCTGCCAGAACCTGAGTAGGAGCTCCCTGGGTGGGAGGCCACCTCCTCATGCTTCTTTGTTATGGCCCTCCCTGGTCCAAAGCCTCATGTAGTCATGGGAGGCAGCCTTTTGGAGGTAGCTGAATCTATAGTCTGTGATTGGGTCATGGTCTAATGCTAGAATTAAGAGCATGAGTGCTACACCTGCCCTAGAATAGGTAGACTGTGTAAAAATAAACTACAGAAACAGACTTTCTCCCTCTCCCTCTCTCATTGCATTTGCTGTCTTCTGCCACCATGAACAGTTGCCCCTTTGCCATGAGCCACCTTTCCTTGGAGCCAGCAGATTATGGACTGAAACCTCTATAAACTATGAGCTAAATAAACCTTTCCTCCTTTAACTATCAATGTTGGATATTTTGTCTCAGCAATGAGAAAAGTAAGACAGGTCTTCAGGACCAACCACCAGCAGACACCTGCCTGGTTTACCAGTTTGGTCCTTGGTCCCCATGGGCTCAGGTGCTCACCTGTAGAGATTTTCAGCGCCTGTCCGCATCCGCAGCTCCTTGCTGATCTGCTGACAGATCCGGGTTCTTTGGCTCTGGAGCCAGCTGTGCTGAGTCTGTGTCAGGGGATCACAGCCCTGCAGGGAGGCCACAGGAGATCATACCCACTTTAGAGCCTCAACCAGGCTGCCCTAAGGGAAAGTGGCTGAAGCCTGTGAGATAGACCTGTCTAGGGAGATGGGTGCCTAGCTAGACAGGAACTCTCAACACTTCAGATGTAGACTCAGCTCCATCCCAGCCAGCTAAAAGGTCCACGTGTCAAGTATCTTCTTTGCATGGCCCATCCTCCTCTTGCCAAGAACCCTCATAGTGCACCACATAGTCCTCCTGCCTCAGCCTCCCAAGCAGCTGGTATTAGGTACATGCCACAGTACCTGGCTCTTAAAACATAGGTGACTATGAATGTTTATTTATGGTGCTGGGTAGGTCCCCAGGCCTCAGGTATGCTTGGCAATCCCAGGGCCCACCTTTCCAGGGAGGTTGTGAATCTCTACAGAGAAGCCTTCCTAAGTAAACTTCACTCTCTGGGGGCCCCATGCAGGAAGCTTATCACTGAAGTCCAGAGCGAGACCCAACAACAAGAGCTTGGTTCCATAGCACAGAAACCTGAGTGGGCTTGGCTCCAAGGCTCTACCCACAAGGCGTTGCAGGGCAGAATGGTCACAGGCACCAGGGAGCATGGCCACCAGGCAATTATTGGCTGTGAGTGTCATGCGTTGGGCAGCAGGCACACAGCTCTGTGAGGCAGAGTAAGCTGCTGAATCCAGGTTCGTCCCGGATGACATGAGGAAGGTGATCTGGGTTATTCTGCCCTCTGCCCCCAGCCATGGGCTGGTCACAACCTGAGGCTTCGTCCCGGCAATGTGAGGCACTGAGGGTGCGGAGGCACATTGCAGCCTGAGGTCACTGAGCCTCCCCCTGAAACCACTCAGGGTCTCACCAGGTTTAGGTCCCTTGTTAGCCCAGGAGATGTCAAGAGGCCTTCAAGTGGTTCCTGAGAATCAAAGAGAGGGGACTCAACCTGGACAAATGGGCAGAAAAGCAATGGGGCACAGTGCCTCCCGTTGGGGGTCTGCCTACTGTAGCGGAAGGACCCCAGCCTCGCCCACTTGGCTGCCCCACAGTTGTCCTCCAGGGCCTGTGCTGCTTTCTCACAGCACCCCATCCCTAGGCCTGCCTGCAGAGAAGAGACAAGACGAGGCCACATGGCCTCCCCTCTACGGGTCTCAAAAAGGAGGTTGGTCCCTCACCAGGAGTTAAACACCCCTTCCTCCTAAAGAGCCCACTTCAGGTTCTGAGGGCTCTGGTAAGAGCTGGAGCCACTCAAGGCCCTGGGCACTCACTGTTCCGTCTTCCCTTAACCTCCTAACCTCTGTGGGGAGGGGGTGGAGACAAGCCAGCCAAAGCAGGAGCTGTGGGACTGGTTCTGGTGTCCACCAGAAGCTGGTGGCCCACAGCCAGTTTTCCACTCTGGGCAGAGGGACATGCCCTTTGGGGAGGGACATGGATGATGGGGAACCAACCCACTCCTGAGACAACCTCCCACCCTCTGGAAACAAAGGCTACCTAGCCCTTCCCTTGCGCTGTTAACTGCACTGGGATTATTTTTGACTCACTCTATGCAAAACAGTGAACCTGTTATGGTCTCTGGTGTACAATAAAAGTATATCTCCCAGGAGCAGGACTTGGCCATAGCCTTGGTGGAAAGGGATGGGGAAAAGAAAAACAAACCCTCCCACCTCCACCCAAGGACCCAGGGACCTGGTGTAGGTAGTGGCCAGAACTGTCCTTGGGTCTAAGAAAAGCGAGACGCTAGTTACCTTAAAACAGGCCTGGGAACAGCAAAACAGAGCAGGGCATTCCTATGCTTTTCAAATTCCCTCTATCTGGGGAAGCTCCCTGGGACAGGGCGCTTCCCTGACAGGCAAACTTCCCCCTCCTTGTGCCAGGCCAATGTTCATTCATCTCAGGGAGCCTGATTTTTTTGTGGGGGATGGGGTGGGGGAATGCTGGGAATCGAACTTAGGATCTTGCACTTGCCAGGCAGGTGCTGTGCCACTGAGCTATATACTTGGGGGGGGGGGCTGACTTTTTCTCTTTATGGTTTTACCTGAACACAGAGGACCTGGAGGCCCCACAAGAATGGAAGCCCAGCACCCACTCCACCAGCCACCTTTCAGGAATAGGGTCCTACAGGGATTGTTGCAAGGAGTCTCCCAGAACACAGAAGCAACAAGCCACATACATGCGAACTGGACCAGAGAGTGGCATGTACACTAGCCACAAGTTACAGTAGGTGTCCTCAGGATCTGCTTCCTTTTATGCTCACTTGGACACCTGGGCACTGCCCCACTCCAAGTGCTCAACCTACTGGGATCAAGTCAGTGGGTTTGTAACACTGTGGGAGTGTAAGCTCCTAGCACAGTAGTGCTGAAAACTCTACAAGGTTCACTATCACTAGACTCAGAGCATGTTAGTGTCCCTCCAGGCAGGGGACCCTTGAGCAGACCTGCTTACTGTACTGGAGAGTAGGTGAGAAGCACTGCATCTCTCTCCCTGCTGCTCCATCCCTGACTTCTCCCACTGGCTTTCCTTGACCCCTTAGCTTCTTGACCTCCCCAGGAAATGGTGGAACTCAACTAGGGTTGTTCTTCCCCATAACCTGGGCTGGCTTGGGGCTCCTCCCAAGAGGCCAATGTACAAGGCTGGGGCTTGTGAGACATTGCAGCCCGTGGGGGAGGGCATCAGTGAAGTCAACTAACTTGAGGTTATAACTAGGCCTCTTCAATGTCCCTGATGAGCAACTCTGGGCCACTTCCTCAACCAGTTCTTTAGATAGATAAACAGAAGCTCAGAGCCAGCAGGACACTCACACGGCATGCTAGGCAGAGGATGAACACTAAGATGTACCAGTGTTCACTAGGCCTAGGCCCTGACACTGAATGGCACTGAATGCCAGCCTGCTTCCTCCTGCTGCAGTGTACCCTAGTCACATAGACCTGTGCACAGGGACTGCACACCCAGGGGTGGCTTTTACATAAACAACTATCTATCCTGTCCCACCCAATTCTGAGCAGAATAGCTGGTTTAATGGCTTACTATGGAGTATGGTTTTGCTACAGCCCAGCAGCAGGTATCAGGGAACTCTCCAGGTATAGGGCCTGCCAGGCTGTGTGGCATGACTTAGGACCAGTCTGAGCAGGGCTGGGGGTGCAAAGCAGTCTCCCACAGGTCTCCCTAGTACCTTAACTGCTTCTGGGTCATGCCAGGACAGTGTGTACATACAGACACAGCACTCCAGAATGACCATAGGAGATGCAGCCAAAGGAAGGCAAAGAAAGAGTCTGGTCAGAGCCCACAGCATGCAAAGCGGCCCTCTGAGACTTCTGGCACATCTTGTTTGTGCAACCTCCCAAACATTCTTTCTCCCCAAGGCAATATGTACTCACACCTTCGGGCATGGCTACACTGTAAGGGAGAGTTCACGGAGGGCAAGGGACATGCCACTTCCCTGTCTCCAGTGCCTGCTAATTGCTGTGCTATTTGGATGCTGGGAGGTGGCCAGGAAGAGTCCTTGAGGGTTTCGCCTGCATCACCTGGCCAGACCAGGTCCTGGCTGATGCCTCTTTCTTCCTCCCCAGACCTGAACGTCAGACACACAAAAGCTGAATGTAATTCGTGAGGTACAATGTGTAGTCTGACACCTAGAAGAAAGGAGGGCAAAGTGCCATGCCAGATGCCTGGGACTAGCAACAGGAGTCACTCTGCTTAGCAGAGTGGGGAATCAACACTGAGGTACCTCTCATTGAACCCCAACACCCAAGCTTTGGGCTGCAGAGAGGGCCTACTCAGGCACAGACTGAACCGAATATATCTTCAAACCCCACCCTTTGCTTCCCTGGTGCTCCTGGAATCCAGGTTACAATAAAACCAGGGATTAGGGACTTCAGAGGGGGTAGAGGTTGAGGAAAGTGGCCATGAAGACAAGCTGCCCAGAGATGATATCTAGGAGTCTCCAGCTACCTGCTAGTACAAGCTATGTCAAGTGGACACTCAGTTCTGGAGCAAGTGCACCGGCCAAAGCTAGAAAGGAAGCTTTATGGGTGTCAGAAACAAACTTGAGTTTATGTGGAGAAGCTGTCACTAACTAGAACCCACACTTGGTGCCCGGGTTCAGGGAAATGACATCTTAATCATCTCGGCTCCCTGATTCCTGAAATTTCCTCCTCTCCCCGATTGGGACCCCTAAAGGAAGCAGAGAGAAGACCAGAGAAGGGACGCAGGCTTTGGAGTCCCCTTGGAGCCTCAGTTTCCCCAGGGCTGGCATGCAGGGTCGAGCAGGGCATGGGAGGGAGCGACCAGGAAGGCCGCGCACCTGGGCGCGCCTCGGATCACAGGGCAGGAGGCCGGGGCCTGCACTCCTCCCCAGCAACCCACCTTGAGAACGCTGCCGGCCGCCTGCAGCCGCGCGCTGACCTCGCCGTCGCTCTGGGCGTCTGGCCTCTCCTCGAGGATCATCTTCAGCCTTTTGAAAATCGCCCCCGCGAGGCTGAGTGAATGAAGTCCCGCTGACGAACCGGTGGGCAGCCCACGACTCTAACGGCTGCTACGCCCTTGTCCGCACAGAGCGCAGGCTGCTAGCTTTCAGGCGAGGGGCTGCCTGGAGCTGTAGGGCGGTGGTCTCCACTGAGAAACTGGCCGATGTCCAATTGACGGTGATAGCCGCCTCGACGGGCAGCAATACCTACCAATCAGAGCTCAAAGAAGGCGGGCTCCGAGAGGTATCCCCGCTCTACCCGTAGTGTTGGGATCCAGTAACCCCTGGCAACCGCGGCCCCGCGCGCGGAGCGCAGTGCGCATGTGCACCGACTCTAGCTTGACTTGCGGGGAAAGTTAAGAAAATTCGCGGGGAGCGGGCGGCTGACCGCACGGGCGTGGTTACAACTCTGCGGGTCTTGGGGGCTTTATTCCGTCACCCTGGCAGCGCGACCTTCCGCTTGTTTACAGTGGAGTTTTTAAACGGTTAGAGACTAGTGCTGTGGGAGTTGTTAAACAATGCCTGCTTTCTTCCCTGCCGGGCAGAGCCTGTCTGTAAGTCTTGGCTTCCACGATCCTCTGCCTGCTTTCAGAACCTATTTAAAGCACTTGCTTCCAGAGCCTGAGTCCTAGACTGAACTAAGAACTTTGAGAACCAGCTTGCCTCCTGCATCTGCTTGTGGAATTGGACTTTGTCCAGAACCTACGCTCCCCGTGAGGCCCTTCCTGCGCCATGTCTCTGCGGGCGCTTTCATCAGCCTCTAGGCTATGACAACTCTGGCTACTCAGCTTTCCTGTGGGTCTGCTTCTCTGCGAACATACCCTTTGCAGGGGGAAGATGGGGTGCAGGCAGTGACCACAATCTTCTTTTGTTGCTGGCCTTTACTGACCTGGGGGTTTACTCTTCAAGACAAGCCCCGCCCCCCACATGCACACACACTTTGGCCTTGTCATCCTCTGATCTAAATCCAGTAAGCTAAGCTCCTTGGCCTGCCCCAGCCATCTGCAGTGGCCTCCCAGCGACATCCCTCTCCTCATGCCCCTGCCAACCACTGCAAATCTGACCAGGACTTGCCATTCCCTAGTGGCCTTTTGGGGTTTTCAGGCATCTACTCCCCTATAGGTGCTTCAGCCTTCTCCCTGGTGAATCCGTACCTGTTCTCACTTGCCTTCTACCACCAGTAGCCAGATGGCCAAAGCCCCCTCCATCTTGTCCATCTTTCCTGTGGGCTCTGAACCTGGTGTGTATCAGTAACACCTAAATTAAAAAAAAAAAAAAATCCAGGACCGGGGATTTAGCTCAGGGGCATAAGCACCTGCCTGGCAAGCTCGAGATCGTGAGTTCGATCCCTGGTACCAAAATCAATCAATCAATCAATCAATCAATCAATCCAGGGCTGAGGCATAGCTTAGTGGTACAGCACTTACCTATTATGTGAGAGCTCCATGCCCAGGATTTAATCTCCAGCACTGAAAGGCAAAACAAAATATTCTAGAAGAAGGAAGGGAAGCAAGATGATTAGATTTGTAGAATTAAATACTATATAATCAGCAATTAGAAAGAGTCCTTTCTGGTGAGGCTCAGTGAGCCATGGGAGTTGGGTACTGTTTGCTAACCAGGTCTTGTAGAACTACTTGGATTATCAGACTATATGTGTGTATTATTCTCATAATATTAAGGTTGCCAGTTTTGTTGTTTTGATTTGATTTTTGGTACCAGGAATTGAACTCAGGCTCTTGTGCTTGCCAGGCAGGTGTTTGTGCTGCTGAGCTATATCCCCTGGCCCAAATTTTATTTTTTAATTTTAATTTAATTTTATTTTTGTCTCTTTGAAACAGGGTCTCACTATGCAGTTCAGGCTGGCCTTGAGCTCACTGTGTAGCCCAGGCTGGTCTCAAATTTGCAACCATAGTCCTGCCTCAGCCTCTTGTTTGGTTTTTGAGACAGCTTCTCACTTATATAGTTCAGACTGACCTTGAACTACTAAGTAGCCCCAGCTGGCCTCAGCAATCCTCCTGACTCAGCCTCCCATGCCCAGAGCAAGTTTATTTATTTATATTTATACTTTTATTTTTGGTACTGAGGATTGAACTCACAACTTCAAGCTTTCCAGGCAGGTGCTTATGCTGCTGAGCTAAACCCCTGGCCCTATTTATTTAATTTTGAGACTTGCTATGTAGTGTAACCTGGGTTGGCCTTGGCAATTCTCCTGCTTTAACCTTCCCCCAGTGCTGGGATTACAAGTGTGATCCATCGTGCCTAGTTTAGTTTGTTTTGTTAAAGTGGATATCTAGAAATTGACCATTTAAAAGGCCAAAATAGCTAGGTGAGGTAGCATACACCTTTAATTCCAACTCTGGAGGAAACTGAGGAAGGAAGATCTCAAATTTAAGCCTATCCTGGGCAATTTACTGAAACCCTGTCTCAAACATTAGAGGAAACCAAACATGGTGGTGCACATCTGTGCTCCCAGCCCTTGGGAGGCTGAGGCAGGACGATCACCATGAGTTCAAAGTCAGCCTAAACTAAATAGAGAGAACTTGTTTAAAACAAAACAAAAAAGAGGAGTAGAGATGTAGCTCAGTGGTGGAGTGCTTTAGATACTGTAGTAGTAATTTAAGACTGGACTCAAGAAAAGAATTTGTGACTGCTGTGGTCTGACACCAAATGAAATCTAAAGTACAGTGAGTTAAAACTGACAAAACGGACATGGCTTGTGAATTTATCATTGTTCATTGTAGAAATATGTACACGTGTGCTCAGTCTATGCGAATGGCATAGCTCACTCATGCAATTAATTAAATCAAAAGAAAGCAGGATGAGTATCTGGCTGAAAATTAAAAATGAACATCAGTCACCCAGCAAAAGCCACTTTTGGGGGAGAAGCATAAAGCTGATAAATCCCTGGGAGGACAGATGGATGGGGGAGACTGATCAGGGGCTCAGCCACAGGCCAGTGTTTCTTAGTTTTCCCAGATGCCCAACAACCACAGAACAAACAAACACAAACCCGGAGCCAAGCTAAAAAGACATTTTACAAGTCCTAAGAGAATATGATGAGAATGATTTTGAAGATCTATAGGTGATCTTATAACAAAATAAATGATCAAAGCATACTGATGAAGAATGAATAAGCCAGGCATGGTGGTGCACTACTGTAATCTAAACACTCAGGAGGCTGAGACAGGAGGATCGTTGCAAGTTTGAGACCAGCCTGGGCTACAAAGTGAGCTCAAGTCCACCCTGAACTGCATATTGAGACCTGAGACCCTGTATCAAAAAGACAAAAAAAAATGGTGAATAGCTCAATAACCATAGAGTAAAATGCAGAAAGGGTACTGGACTCTGAAATCCATGATAAGCGCTATCTCATTTTAGATAAGTTTAGCCAGTTAAGTTAAACAGCTTTCTCAGCTGTTTAAATGCTCCCTACACACAAAGGCATGGACATCTTCACAATGCCCCTTACCACACTACATTGTCAAACACTAATAAAGAGAGTTCAGACAAAACCATTTTACCAATGCACGGATGTTTCAGAGACTGCTGGGAACCCAGCCATATCCACTTGTTCCTCTGTCCATACAGAATCCTGATTGGTTTGTTGACTGCTGTCTCGTGAAGCCACATGACCCAAGCAAGGCTGGCCAAACCTAGCCTAGAAGGTGGAGACCAAGGGTACCTAACCAAGGGCATCAGAACCACGCAGGGAGGTGCTCAGACGTCAGAGCCTGGGCACATTCAGGGTCCTGCAGTGCCAGCCACACTTGTAGTGTTCTTGTCCACCAAAGTACCAGTAAGACAGAGGAACTAGGGGGCTGGAGATTTAGCTCAGTGGCATAAACGCCTGCCTGGCAAGTATGAGGTCGTGAGTTTGATCCCCGAAACCAAAAAAAGAAGTTGTCATATAAAGTCAGAGTGACCGTGTTGGTTAGTCCATGACAGATTGGTCCTGTTGCTTTGGGTCTGTTAGCACCACATCACAGCCAGAATGCCTGGAGGGACAAAAACATTTGTCTAATGGCTAAGAACAAAAGAGAGGAAGAGGAGGGCCTGGGGTCCTATAGTCCCCTTCAAGGGCAAGTCCTCAGGGATAAGAAAGCTTCCTATAGTCCCTACCTCTTAAAGACTCTACCACCTTCCAAGAGCACAAAGCTGGGGAAACCTTTACCACCTTCCCACTGGTGTCACTTAAGAGCCACAGCATGGCAGAGACCCACATCCCTTACATGATTCTGGGCCATCCATACTCTTAGGCTTCTACTGCAGACTCAGCAGGCTGGGCAGAAGTGAAGTCCTCAGGGAGCTCCTAGGAAAGGAGCCTCTGGCCTAAGGGTCTATAAAGGGAGACTGTACCTTTCCCCCAAGCACTATCATGGCCAGGCCAACTTTAAGAGTTGTGTATCTGCCTTCCAACATCATGAGGCTAGCAGAGGGGAAGGCTTCCAGCATCCTACTCTGGGCCTGCTCCTTCCTGTCTTCCCCGTGGAGGAGAACATCTCCTTTAAGTATCCCGGAATAGTGTGAGCCAGTTAAGTTTGAGAAAGACATTGTATCAAACACAGGTAAAACTATTTATACATTGAGATCTTAAACCATCCTTGTTAGTTCTGAGAGGAGATATGGATGCCAAATTACCACTTCTCCTCAGAGTTAATTTCCATCTCCTAGTTAAGGGAATAACACAGGAAACTAAACACTGGGAGAAGAGGGGTAGCATTATCTTTATATTCAGTTGACATGACTGATCTGAAATCCCAAGAAATTTAACCAGAAAACTGTGAGGAGAGAATGCAGTGCCCTGCTTCCAGGCAGACAGGCCACATCATTTCTGAGAGATAAAATCCTAACTTAGGGAAGTAGAACTTAGCTTTGGCTGTGTGATGCCACTTCAGAAAAATGAAAACTTAGGAAAATGGAATTTAGCTCAACCTATCAGGTGATCCTGCTTTGTCTTTTTCCACCTAGCCAGTCTTACCCATGTCTTCCAAACTCGGAGCCCTGCATATAACCTCAGATCCCCCTGATTCAGGGCAGACTTTTGGATTCATGTATCAGAGGTACAATCACTGGAGAAAATAAAACTTTCACTGTGGATTTTCTTACAGTCGGTTATCTTTCTGGTTTCACTACTGTCTTCTTTGAAGTAACAGAACTATGAGATATAGAGAATCTTGTAAAATAGCTACTTTTCTTTTGTCTTTTTCCTTTTTATCGGTACCAGGAATCAAACTCACGACTGCCTGCTTGCAA